TTACTTACCTCAATGTTACAATCAGTTCATGCTTTGGTGATATGCACTCCCGGAAATTTGCGTGCTTAGAAATGTGACTCTCAATATTCTCTGATAAATAGTCGAATGTGGATTGTGTCATTCTCGTGTATTCGAAAAATGTTTCATTATTTCTTCTTAATTTTTCATATGACCTTCCGAACTCTTCCTTTCTATTTCTGGATAAAAAATATGTGTCAACCCATTTTCCTCTTTTTTCTTTCAGTAACAAATATTTCACTAATGGTGATGATTCAAAATGATAAAACTTTGATAGCGAATCCATAATCACTACTGTTTTCGTATGAACTGATATCATCCAATGTAACCACACACGCCTATTAAATTCATAATAATTGATTCTTACGAATTCGTAAGACTAAATTTTCGTACGAATTCATATCCAATGTAACCGCCGCCTTTTTTTATTCTTCTGCATTTCATAATGATATTACTCGCATTCCAGCGCTTTTGTGTTAATTTTTCGTGAACAATTGGATCTTCGCAAACGTACCGATGTGAAGTCGCGTTACTTAGTTGGATCTGTGTCATTTCATTCTCTCACTTTGTTAGCTTCGCCGTGGGCGTAATATGTTGAAAGTGTGATATGTGCTTCGAGCCACTGGCGGCATGGTGCGAGTCTCTTCTCCAGCAGCACCAACGTGTGGTATAACTTTTTTTTAGTATCATTATTGAACTGGAATGATACGTCAGTATCCTCAACCAATGACCACTACCCACACCATAGGCTAAATGATCATTGGATTCGAAAATCATGTGCCCTGAGCAGACACAATGAGCCAGAACTGACAGCCTTCTGGATTTATCTGGCCAAAATGTTTGCGGCAAGCCGGTATAATCTTGAGATGCGAGAGTAGAGACGTCATCATTCCACCAATGATATTAGTAATCAGAACAACTATCGTTACAGAATGCTTCGCATATTCAATTCAGAACACAGAGATAAACAAGAATTTGTAACAATGCAAAACGAAACTGACGGTTAGTTTTTGATGGAGCACAAACTGTAAGCTCAGGCAGATCGTTCCAGAAGAATCATTCTGAGATGTCCTTCCAGTCTTCCAGTATTACTCCACACAAAAAGTGCAAAGGAAGGATTTTGGAGGTTTCAATGAGATCATCTCCTAATCGATGATCGTGTGGCAATGTTTGTTCAAGTAATTCAAGACGACGATTTTATGGTAGGTCGGAAATTTGCTCAAGAATATTATTTTTGCAAAATAAGGACTTTTAACGAATACAATATAGTCGAGGATTCGTCTAGTTTTGTTAATCGTGAAAAATTGTACAGGAGATATATTTTTGAAAGATACAGTTACCATTTTGAAATATGTGATGTGGTGGTTCATCCAGTATGACAATTTGAAAATTTATATTGTGCTATATCCCTACTTTTGATGCATCATTGAAACGCTGTACAATGGTATAAATGATGATTGTTCAGAGTGTTGAAAATGAGTTGAGTGAAAATTTATTGGGCGTTTAATTAAAAAAAATTCATTTACGACATTCAAATTTCATCAGTGTCAATCATTTATACCAACAGTGCTATCACTCAGATCAATGCTGGGATGGTTTACAGTATACCTGAGATAAATTTCATATTTGGCACCCAGAGCTAGTGTTATTTACGAACATCTTAATTATTCAATGACAGAGATTCTGATGAAAACATAGACCACGTGTATATCCGTGATTTGTTTAGAGCATCGGGTTCAGTGCAAAATAAAATAGGGATGCTCCAAGATTGTGGAATGAAACGAGCCAAATGGAGATCCTTGTAGAATTTGCAATAGATTATACTACATCAACTCGTCAAGTATCTGCAATGAGGTGTATAAATTTCATATGTTTCAAAACGCAAAACGATGATAATCCAGACCTACGAATTGAGTTTCGTAAACTCATGATTGAAATCATTCGCGCTGCTGCTATACTATCGAAAATTATGTGTTTCAGTGATGAATGTACTTTCATACGGAATGGTAATGTGAATGAACAACACTGTCGGTACTGGAGTGTCACGAACCCGTATCGACTTAGAGAAGTTAATACTCAATATTCAGATATAATTAATATTTGTGTACGAAAATTAGGCGCTTTTGTCATTGGCCTTTTGTTCATACAGGCAATTCACGTGGCAAAATTTATCTGGATATGCTGGAAAACACTTTTGATTGGTAAGAGAGATCCTATTGAGTGGCCACCGAAGTCACCATACTTGACGCCATCTGTTTTCTTTCTATGGTGTATGAAACTGAACCTGCGTCATTTGGGATATTACGGGAAAATCAAGCAAGTCATGCTATTACCAGACCAACCCCGACTAACGTTCGTCCACTTCAACTTTTCAACAAATTTGTAGTTGAATAAAGCTTCATTAAATTCTGCCTCCAAGGTGAGATTTCACAATTACTGATGCACCCTGTACAATTATTATTCATATCATAATGGGCTTTTATAGGCTTTCCAATGATATGTCACTAGTAGAAAAAAACTCTGTTTAATATCTGTTTTTCCGTTAACCAGCTGTCGCACGCCTACAAACGACAACCCTCAGAAGTCGAAACTTGTGCTAGCTAAGGATTAACGAGGTCTTACTTTTTAACGTGAGAGGTTTGCTATTAAATTTTTTTTTTTTTTTCAGTTGGAGGTATGTGGAGACTAGGCGTTGACAGGGGTGAGTACTTTTTTATGCCATTTCAATTTCCTCTTTCTATAATAGGAACGATTTCGAAAATTTTCTGTTTGTGATTTGTTGTGTTTTTCACTTGTCACAGTGTATAAACACTAACATAGCCGTATTCAGGCACCTATTGTTGATTATTTTAACTAGGTTTTAACTGGGTTAGCGAAACGTTCATCGGGAAAGTATTTTATTATATAAAACTACTCTGTATGTGATAGATTTTATTTACCAGGTTACTTTCGAGTATAGATTATGCAAGTTACGAATATTGAGTAGCTTATTAAAAGGAAATTTTTGAGGTAGTACCTATATGTGTTATTTATTCGTCAATCGTAAGTAATAAAAGTAACTTATTTTCAGTGAATCCATACAAATGCGAAGTTTGTCAGAGAGATTACAAACATAGAAGCAGTCTACTTCACCATAAGAGGTACGAATGTCAAAATCCCCCACGGTTTGGTTGTTCTGTCGATGGATGCCTATATAGAAGTAAAGTCAAGAGCAACGTAAGGAAACACATGTTTATCAAACATAAGTACCTCAGTATATCTTGCGATAAAATGATAGTATTAGATTTGGAACAGTTGGAAATTTGAACAGTTGTGACGTTATTGATTCAATCAAAACTGACTGAGGTCTGTGGAAAATAGACTTGATATCATTTGTAATTGTATATACTTGTTAGATCCAGAATTTGAAATAAATGAATTAGCACAAAACGGAATAAAATAACACAGTTGAAATTACTTTTTAGGTGAGTTTCTTGATTCTGCTTTCGAATATCATCAATTATTCTCAGATGATGTCAAGTTCACATCAAAACAAAATGAAGAATTCTTTCCACATATTTCTCAATGTGTGACAATGTGTATTTAATTCCATTTCCTTCGATTTGACATCAGAATCACTATTCACTCAGCTTACTTTTAGAACCGTCAATATAGACCGTCAATGATATAGAACCGTCAATGACTATTGCAATTCATTGTAACAAATTTTCCATTGACTATTCTTCACTGAAGGAACTCTCAATAGATACACATACTTGAATCAATTACAGGAATATTTAGATCCAACGATTAACCAAATTTCAGAAAATGATAATTGAATAATTGAAGTTCACGGGAACATATCATTATTGCTTCAGGAAGCTATTGCGAAACTCGTGCGAAGATTTTATAAATCTTTTGTGAACTATGTTTCTTTACTTTTCATTCAAGAAAAAAGCCACTGGCATTATGATTCACTCCAAAGTAATAATATACATTATGAATATACTCACCTGTTAGTCATTGAAAATTAATAAATCCGTTAACTAGCTGTCGGAAAAAACGATTTCGAACATATTTTTTTAACAAATTAAAATCTGATTTATATACTCCCAGTTCCGGAATGCCCCCAGGCTAGAATTCAGGACCTCTTATGTTCCTGATTTTCATTGATTATTTAGCTAAAATAATAAACAGTTCAAAACAGCTCTACGCCGATGACCTCAAAACATTCAAAGTGATAGAAAATTCTAGAGACTGCTTCGACTTACAGTATCAATTAGATTCGGTATTCAATTGGTGTTCCAATAATAGTTTGAATTTCAATATTGCTAAATGTCATGTATTGTCTTTTTCCATAAAAGAAAGTCTAATACAATTTACTTATGGAAATGTATGCCCTTCATACTGTTTTCTATAAAGTAGGTAGTTTAATATAAGTTTCGCCAAACTTGCTGAAAAACTAAATTCTGATAGGTACTTGAGAAGAATGAAGAAATCAATTTAATCAGAGGCTTTTTGAATTATTATGCATGTATTATTATTTTGAATAATTTGAGGAAATTGCTTACTATTGCAATGGCTTTAAATTTTTTTATAGATGTAATATCACCCTTTTTAAAAATTGGGAATATTCCAGATTTTTTCCAAAGCTCAGGGAACTGACAAGTTTTCAAAGAAAGATTGATTATATAGGGGAATAAGTAAAGGGTACATACAATCCTTAACTACGAAACTCAGTATATAGTCAGGACCGACATTGTAGCATCGATAATATCTACTTCATTCACGTGATCGATATTATTGTTAGTAAATCCTTAATAACACTAGGAATTTTTGATTTACCTCTTTTGTTCTGCATGAAATTTCAAAATGCAATTAGATCTTCGGTAATTTTACATTACCTATCGTTGACAAAGTTTTATAAGCATTGTTTATTTGTTCTTTTACTTCACTTCTCAACACGATTAATTGCTCCTGATAAAAGGATGTTTTATGTTTTTTCAAAATTTTGTTGGCCCTTTCTTTGTTATGAATGTTTTTAATTATATCTGGTGTGAACCTGGGCCGGTATCTATGGGAACGATTATAACATATTGATGATAGATGATGATGACTTCATAGTGTATTGCACCCTCTTTCACAGTTTTAAATTTCAGAAATTCATGTGCCAATGAAAATACAGAAACGGAATAGAAGAGGAAGGTTAATAAAAAAAAGGTGCAGAGTTTGCCATGAAAACAAAATAAGGAAAGAATCATTATATTACTGTGGCCAGTGTTTTGAACATCCCGGACTTTGTGTGGATATATGTTTCAACTCTTACCACAAATCCAAAAGTTATATTCAATAATATCTAATTTCTGTTATGGAGATGTCTAAATTATAACTATTATATTTTTCATCCACAGTGAGTCTCAAATAATTTTTTATATACTATATCAATTTTCAATTGAAGGTAACTCATATACAAATTGAAATGAGAGCTAACGGCAACAATGTTAAATGTTAGAACTAAATTCTTACCGGGGTAATTTTTATTGTCTATGCATTGCCATTGTTAATAATTGAAAAGTAAGATGATTCCATAAAATTTGCCCCCTGTAACAAGATAGCTTCTGCATATCGATAGAATGTACGAGCGAATAGGTGAACCAGTTCGTTAAATACTTTGAAACATCGGTAGGGCCTAAACTGATCAACACTCCGCAGGTCTATTATATTTGCGTCCTCAAAATGCCATAATTAGTCATTTGGTTTCTTCATTATCAAGCGTCCTTATCTGCATAGGCGTAGTGTGTTCTGTTTCTTGTGAAGGTGACTTTGTTTTGTATTAAATATATTTTATTATATTCATTAAATAGACTGTTATATTAATTAACTTTAAAATATAAGATAGAGTTCGCCGATATTTGCTTGCTTTTCAAAATACATTATCATAGATTTTCATCACATTCACACTTTATTGTGAGATAATTAGTTGACCTTATCATTAAACACAGGTATAAATGTTCCTTGAATTCAGTTATAACTGTCATTAATTAGTTCCTAGAATATTATTAGTTTCTAGGTAGATAGTAATATTTCAAAAAGTATATACAAATCACAATGTACGTAAAATTCAGTTCGTTAGTGAACACGCTTGAAAAAGTTACTGTGCAGCGAAACACGTGTTGCGGATTTGTTAATCTGTTCTTGTGAAAATCTCACAATGGAGTGTTTTTCAAAATACATCAACAAAACAATAGTTTTTGAGGTAAGTCAACAAGACAAATAGCTGAATGATATGATTGAATTTTATTATTTTTATAGTATTAAGATGGATGCCGTAGCAGGTCCAAGTAATGTAAAAAGAAAGCGGAAGTTTATGTCGTTAGAAAAAAAACAAATTGTCTGTAGAGTGAACGAAAATTTAAAAAATACACTCCGTACAGTACAGGGCTGTAGCCCAGTGTTCATTTTTAACGGGAATATCCGTGTCGGCAATTGAACACATTTTACGTGAAAAAAGGGTGACTGGGATTGTGCAAGCTCCAAAAGTAAATTGTCGTGGTAGAAAAAAAATTGAATTGGACGAGTACCATACAAATTTTGTACGCTATACCATTCATTCTTTCTTTTTTGAGAATAAAGCGCCAACCCTCGAATCCATTAGGACAAAAGTAATGGATAATGATCTCATTCCAAAAATGAGTAAAGAGAAGTTAAGGAAAATAATAAAAGAAGATTCAAAATTTATATACGCCAAACGATCTCGTAGGTCTGTCTTAATAGAAAGAGAAGATATAGTCTCATATCGACGGAGATATCTTCGCTCTATTAGAGAAATGCGTTCTGCTCACAAAAAGATTTATTATCTGGACGAAACGTGCGTGAATGCTGGTCACACAGTATCTAAGATCTGGCAAGATAGTACTGTAACTAGTTATCGTCAAGCATTTGTGGACGGTTTATCAAGAGGGTTACGCGGATCAACGGGTAAATGGCAACGACTAATTGACGCCCATATAGGTAGTGAGAGAGGCTTTTAAGACGACAGTGCTCTAATTTTTTTATCCTAAAAAACGGGCAGTTATCACGAAGACATAGACGCCCAACGCTTTGAAGGATGGTTTGAATCCCTTCTTTCACGAGTCGAGCCAAATTTGGTGATAGTAATGGATAACGCTTCTTATCACAGCCGATTAGTAGAACAGCTGCCAATTATGACTACCATAAAAGCAGACATGCAGAGTTAGTTAGGATAAAAAGGAATTCCACTTTCCGAGGACACGGTTGAAGCCGAGCTCATGAGTGTCATCAAACAGCATCGTGACAGATATCGCCAGCATGTGGTGGATACAATAGCTCGTGCTGAAGGCATCACCATTTTAAGACTTCCTCCTCACCATTGCGAGTTAAACCCGTTAGAATTAGTCTGGGCTCAGATTAAAGGTCACGTAGCTCGTGAAAACGTGACATATAAAATTTCTGTGGTCCAACGTTTATTAGAACTCGCAATGGAACAGAAACGGAAAGAAGATTGGGCTAATGCTGTAGCCCATGTGATCAAGGAAGAAGAGAAAATGTGGAGATTGGACGGGATGTCAGACACTGTTTTTGACCAAATAGTAATAGATTTAAGTGTTACTGGGGATTCCTCTTCGGACGAGTCAATGGATTCTGAAACTTCATAAGCATAACATAGGTAATTGCTCTCTAGTTCTCTTTCTATATAAAAGGAACAAAATAATTACTTTGTAAATTTTTCTGTTTTTTGAAGTACTGCTTTAGGCATAATGAGAAAATGTAATCAGTTTTACCATTGACACCAGGTACCGCCACCTACTATAAGAATTTTTACGTAATTACCTATGTGTTTAAATAAATGATATATAGTAAAATATAATGTATATCATTTCCAAATTGATTACTTCCTTCCTTCCTTTGGAAGATTCCCTCATCCTTTTTTTTTGTATCAAGATGGAGTAGTGGAAAGTCAAAAACTTTCTTTCCCAAAAATTAAAAAATTAATCACTCCTGAAAATATAACCCCTTCAATTCAAATAAAAATATTATTTTGATACGCCTCTGCAGAGTTGGTAAGAGAATGATTCGTTGGTCACTTCAAGTGCGACGTTGCTAATGAATCACCTTCAATGGAACATTGTTTTAGTATAATGGATGTGAACGAAAAATTCACTTCTCTTCAGAATTTCTGCATTATCTGAAAACTAACACATTAGAACTGAAAAAAAATGTTCTGTCAATCAAAATTCAGTAATTGATGTAAAAGCAAATCACCTTTACACTTTCAAACACATAAAAATATTATTTGAATTGGCATTATTTTTTAGAATATTGAAGTATTTAGTACTGAAGCACCGTCTGTGACAGCTGATCTCTCAGAAAATATTTTTTCACGAATTTAGTGAAATTCATTATATCTGACTTCGCATTCGAATTCAAATAATTATAGGCGTCACCAACTAGCTTGAATTAAAATAACTGAAGGGATTCGTCCTTCGACCATATATCCAGTCTGGCACGCAGCTGTAGTTTCTCAAAATATCCCACAACCACCTGTCTAGGTGCAGGTCCTGGGTTTGGTATTGATGTAACCCTTGATACACTTCCAGTAGTGGTCATTTCAAAAATCCGAATGAAGAAGAAGTTTCCTGAACTCCTTGCTTCGGGTGAAAATATATAGTTATAGGCACAAATCGGTTCATTTCTAGGGTTCGCTTTCCTATTCTGAACATCTTAATGTCGAATAAAATTCATTTAATTTTCTGGACCTTCTTAATTCAACATATTCTTCTTCGGAAGAATAATTTCAACATATTCCTGTCTGTGAAAACCTTCGATTAACATTTCAAACCTTTACGGGGAGATGAGGTCATATCGAGAAGAAGCAGAACTGAGGTACCAAAACCTTCAGGTACCAGATTCAGGTAATCAAGCACGGTATATCTGTAATAACATCATTGTACCCGTACAGTAAGAAGTCATCTGAGTAGGGTCAGACGACTTCCGAACACTTTACAATTAATCGCCAGATGATGACAAATGTGATTTTGTCGAAACGTTGCGAAATTCATTCCCATCGGGGATGACAATACACCACACGGAACAAACCCAAAGAATAATTTCAACTTCTGAGAGTTGTCGTTCGTATGGGGGCGACAGCTGATCAACGAAAAAACAGATTTTCAAATGAAATTAGTTCTACCGACCTTTTTCTTTCGCCCCCTCAAATAAAATAATCTCACCGCTTCCACCACTGTTGTAAAGCGCCGTCTGTGACAATGTAATGTTTTTTGAATAGTTCCTTCGGATTATCAATTTCTTCAGCAGGTTTTTCCTCATTCAACAACAAGGTTGTATTCGTTGACCTTTTTATTTGTAAAAAAAAATTGAAATGAGTTCTTCAGTTGAACAACTGCCGTTACTAAAAGAGCTACAAACAAAATTGAAATTTCTGAGAAATAGGGATTAACGAGATCTTCTTCTTTCCGTTTGACTAATGGAAAAACTGCCTTTTATGTAATTCCTCAGGCTAATTCAGAGAAAAAATCTTCGTGCGAACAATAAAAACTCATAACGGTGTAATGTAATTACTAAATGATAATATATAAAATTTAGAATCATTGAGATATTTGAAATAATTTACAATTCCGGTCATTTTAGAGTACTTTCAAGATCATGATAAGACAAATTCAATAAAAATATATTTTTCTCCAGCTAAAAATGGAAAAATAATTTCAAAGTCGTTTCTTATTGTGTATACAGGGCAATTCAAATTCGACCTCCACCATTGGTATCTCTTAAACTACAGGAGATACGCCGAAGCTTTAGTTGCACTTTTTGTGCTTGACAAAATAATATTTTCAAATTTGAAAAATTTCGAGTATTTCCGGGAATATTCGGAAATAACTGAAAAGCTGAAATTTTCGTTTTAATTTTTTTCTAGCGTTATTTCACAACATATCTCAAAACGAAAACACATTCTCATTGATACTTTTTTCAGCTACACGTTTTCATGTTCTGACTTACTATCCGACGTTTTGTCTGCTGGCAATCATCATCAACTTTTTTGTCTATTATAGGCGCCATATTGTTTTATTACACAGAAAAACAGTGCTGTCCATTCTGATTTAATTGATGTATAATTTGTTATGATTCGCTCTTCTGAGATGGTCATGACTCCATCGAAAAATTTTGTTTACATACAATAGTTATCAGAACTCATCAAACCTCATAAGTTTGCACAAATACTTCAGTCGAAACGTCCTCATTCTCAAATGAAGAAAAACGAGATATGTTGAAACTTTATTTTGAATTTGATAGGAATAGTACGAAAACAGCACTAATTTATTTTCAATTTTATCAGGAAAGAATACATTCTTAGAAATTTTGGACAAACACAATGAATGTAAACATGATGAAAAATATAAAGAAGTAAAATCGTGTTTTGATTTCAGGATTTTATTTATGTCCTATGGAATGTGGAAAGAAATACAAACATAGATCTTCTCTGTACAACCATACAAGATTCGAATGTGGCAAAGACAAAGCATTCTCCTGTCCACTGAATGACTGCACTTATAAAACTAAAAGGAAGGGGAGCCTCAAATCACACGTATTTATCGTTCATGGTTTCGAAAATTCTCAGACATTCAACTGAAATTGAACTGAGAGGACTTGTAAATATGTTGAAAGAATTACATTCGATAGGGAAACTGCAATATTCCAGAGTATGAAATGATTACTTATATTGAAGTTGTAATACAATACTTATTGGTATTTTTTAACGTAATATATTTTTCAATTTCGTGAGATATTCTTATGGGCGAATTGGTCAGAATCGACAGAATACAAAGAGAACACGAGGCGATATTTGAACTCTCTAAACTCTTGAAATCAGTCTCATTTGATCATAAGTATAACGAATAGGGATAATTCCCTACCAATCCACAAGTTCCAAGATTATACGGTCTCCCGAAGATACACAAAGATGGTACTCCAATCAGACCAGTGGTAAGCTTTTACAATACTCATGTCTCCATTCTGTCAACATTTGTCTTACAAGTGATAAAAAATGTAACCAACTACAAACCTGCCAATTCAGTAAGTAACACTTTAAATTTAATTAATAATATTAAAAACTTTAAACCTAATTCCAACACCCTCATGATATCCTTTGATGTTTTCAACCTGTTCACTTCAGTTCCTAAATCTGAAACCCTACCTTCAGTTTCTAACTTGCTTCCTCAACACAACATCTGACTCTACCAAAATAGATATATTAACTTTACCTAAATTTTGCATTTCCCAAGATTTTTTTGTCTTCAATAATAAATTTTACAGTCAACCTGAAGTGAAGGCCTAGCATTGGGTAATCCTCTCTCACCTTTCCTAGCAGCCATTTTCATGGAAAATTTAGAAAATTCCTACATCATTAATAAAATTGATAAGATTCTCAGTTGGCACAGATATGTTGATGACTGCTTGGTTTTCATAGATAGTTACTCTAATTGAGCACATGATATCCTTGACTCCTTAAATAACTTACATCCAAAAATTAAATTCACACTTGAAATAGAAAAAGACAATAAATTGAACTTTTTATATCTTACTATAACAAAAATTAACAACAAACTAGATTTTTCCATTTACAGAAAGCCAACCCAGACTGATCATGTCATTTCTTTCAATTCATTTCATCCTATGCAACAAAAATGGCTTCCTTCAATTGCTATGTTAACAGATTGTTGAACATTCCCTTATCTCCCTCCAATTTCAATTTAGAATTAAATACTTTAAAACAGATTGCTGTCAACAATGGTTATCAACCATCCATTATTCACAAATTAATCAGTAAATTTAAACTCTACCACCTTGGTTAATTCACCTTCTGTGAAATATTTTCCTTACCTTATTTTGATCAAAATATTTGTACTGTTATTTCCAAATTTATAGAAAATACCATACCTGGCACAAAAATTTCAAAGACAAAATCAACAAATTTCACAGAAGTGGAGTCTACAAGCTTGATTGCTCTGATAGTTCGGCATCTTACATTGGTAGAACCTGTAGACCTCTTTTTACTCGTATTAATGAACATTTAAAAAAACCTGACAAATCTGCTTTTGCCCACCACATAAAATTTCACAATCACAACTTTAGTCCCAATAGAAATTCCAAAATATTTCATAAAATAGATAATAAAAATTTCCTTAGACTTGTCTTGTTTGAAGAGTTGGAGATTTCTAAAGAACTTTCCAATAATGATCATTGTTTGAATACTCAAGAAAACTCAAACAGAGATTGCCTTCCCCTTCATAAAGGGGTTATGAATTATTGATTAATCACATTTTACCAATACAATTTATTCAATATTGACTTTTCCTCTACATAATTAATCAAATCCATAATGGATCACTTCTCAAGTTGGTACCATTATTTTAATATGACACTGTCTCAAGTTGCCCTTCTTCATATAATACTTTGACTGAACCACATGGCCTCAATCAAAATGTATTTTCTTGGCTATAAGCCTATTTTGCTTTATACAAGTCAAATATTACAAATATGCAATGTACTTAGTTTGATACCTACTGTTGCCTGACAAGTGAGTAATCTTAAACAATTTTTCCAAATTTGTTAACCTTGAAGATTAAAAAAAAATTACAACTCCAATTTTCACTAAACTTCCTTTTCAATTAGATCACTTACTTTCAGGTGAGCACTGATGATGACGAAAGTCCAAAGCGCTTTGCAAGAATTTTAAAAATTATACACTTCAATTCAAAAAACCTCTTCGATTCATTAACAGAAGTATAACGTTTCATTATCACAAAATCACCGAACAAAAATATGAAAATTATTATTGTAGTGTGGAATTTTCATTTATATTTCGACTATACATCCAGCAAATATGCGCTGTTTTTTTCTGGTGAGTCAAAAAATAAAATGTCGTTAACAACACGCCACATTTTTCGGAAATTGAAATAATTCGAAAAAGACATTAAAAATGATTTAATTAGTTTATGGTGTATTGAAAACATTTTCTTTCACCAAAACAAGAAGGAGAAACTGTTTAAGTTGAAAAAAAAAATTTCTACTCAACAATTACTATCACTTCCCAAACACAAATAATGAAATTGTAAAACAACAACAAAAATCAACTGGCGCTCCGGGGCGACTTCATTGATTACAGTGGCGCATTTGCTGTTTCAGCTACAGGAAAACCAGGAAAAACCTGCAGCACCACATCATCTGAAGATCTTGATCCGCCAATGTCCTCTTTCTCATAAAAAAAAATGTAGAGTGTCTTCAAAGGCTCTAATACATTCAATACATCGCCAGAACACTTAGTGACACGACTATCGTCAAACTTAAACCAGTCCGTTTCGTCTTTGACCAAGGCGTAATAATGACCAGAACCACAGTGAACAATGACCGCATGAAGATTATAATAGTGGTCTGCTAGGTTGAAATGTTCATCTATTTCGAACCTTCGTAAGAGTTTGGTGCTTCCGTCAGAGGTTGATTCATGTTTGAAGATCATCACTGATATTATCAGATTGACTGGTGCCCTACTTCTACTTGTTTTCCCATAACAGTCAGTTAGTTTGGCAATACAGTTCATCATCACCTGTTGAAAATTCTATTTTCAGATGATTTAACAATAAGTTTTGCACAGACTGGTTATTAGTCTTATTAGAAAACGCTAGTTGAAGTTCCAGAAATTCACATAAGTTTTTGCTACCTCTTGAACATTTACTACAAAGTAAACAAGTGATGATTTTTCCAGCAAAAGTTTTACCAACACAAGACGAGATATACTGTATGGAATCATTCAATCCAGAGCGGTAATGATTCTGCAATTGTTTTGCTCACGAAGAGTATTCAACCCCAATAATTCAGAACAATCCTTTTGTTGTCCTAACAAGTATCTAGTGGACTTCAGAAACTCCAGGAAATCGGTTGGAGGAAAAGATGATACATTCTTACGAAACTGCAGCTGCATGAACAGGTGTTTGAGTTCAGTTCATCATTAAAACCTCGTTCTTGAAATTCTTCGACATGAACAACACTTGTGTTGTTCATGTCATGTTACATGAGTAACATTTCCAAATTTCACTCATGTACATATTCCAGGATCTAGACCGGAACGACAAGACGTTCAGTTGTACCTATATACGGAATATGTACCTATTCGGTACATATCTTGGAGCGTTTACGGCGGCTCTTACGCATGCGTTCATAAACGACTGGATCTGTTTTTTATATGTCGCTGCGCACTGGCCCCATGCAGTGCAGGCATATAGGACTATCGGTAATATTACGGTCTTTATCATCAGCAGCTTCACTTTCAATCCCATGTTGCTTCTTCGACCTATTATTTGTAATAGGTTTTGTCGGGCAGTTCTCACCATTTCTATTCTCTGTCATAGGTGAGACCTGAACGTTAATCCTTTGTCTAGGTTGACTCCAAGGTATCTAGCTTCGTTGGTCCACGGAATTTCTTGTCCGTTGAAGATGACGGTTCCTTCCGGGTGTACCATCCTCCGGGTGATCAGTATTGTCTGACTCTTGTCAGGGTTCATATTGATCTTCCACAGGTTGGTCCATTCCTCTAATCTATCTGCCTATTGCTGCAAGTATCTGTGTCGTCCGCGTAGAGCGCTAACTTGTTAAAGTTGTTCTCCGGCTTGGGCACGTCTGCTGTGTATACCGAGAAGAGGTTTGGCACCTTGTGGGACCTCTGCTTCCAGTAATCGCATGGTTGAGAGTTCTTGTCCTACTCTGCAGTGGGATCGCCTGTCAGCTAGAAAAGACTCGATTAATCTTACCATCGGTTTCCTGTAGCCGAAGTTGCTCATTTTGGCCAGAAGTCCGTCATGCCATACTCTGTCAAACGCCTTGGAGACATCTAAGAAAATCGCTCCGGTTTTTATGAGGGAATCACTTGAGAGCCGAATATATAGTTTTTTTGAGTAAACATATGAATATTTTGATCACGGTTCATTTTTGGTATAAGGTGTATCACATCAGAATTGTGCCATGTATTCGTAAATGTCAAAATATACAGGGTATTACATTTGAATTGAGAAAATTGGTACCAACTTCCGGTATAACCGAAATTGTTGGAATAACGCTATTGTTTTTTTGATAAAGCATATTGAAAAGCCAATTTTCAGTATATGATATATATTATTTCCCAAAATACAACTAACCGGCGGTCGTCGCGCTGTACCCTGTATATAAAAACACCATTACAACTAATTCGCGAAAATACTGCATGAGATCTCATTAGTAGGAAAACATTTCGAAAGCATTAAATTTTTTTAAATAAATATAAAGTGAGTTTTTGTTGAAATCGATCATACATTCTAAGACTTTATTCTCACAATTGTCAGATAATTTTCCATTTTCCAGAAGTCCTTCCATTTCACTGCAACACCTGTCAACGTCGATACAAATACAAGGGTAATCTAGTCAGACATCACAAATACGAATGTAACCAAGAGAAACAATTTACTTGTAGCCTGATTGGGTGCTCCTATTCGAGCAAATTAAAATCAAATTTGGATCGTCATTTCATAATCAAACACGTTAGTGATCCTACACGTCAATTTGGGTGCACCGAGGATGGATGCTCGTATGCAAGTAAAATCAAATCGAATGTGGTTCGTCATATCAGAACACATCATGGAAAAAATAGTTCTGAACTGTTGGATAATTATGTTTACTCCAAATCTGATTTGGATCCAAGTGCAATCGGCAGGTAGACATTAATTTTACTTTAGTGGAAAGTTTGAGTTTCGTGACCACATTGTAAATATTTTATTCCTCCCTGTATATGGGATGAATATTTTTGAGCGAAATAAATAGTTCTTTATTTTTTGATGTGCGTTATTTCTAATCATTGTATTGAATTCTGATGATGAGAATAGTTTTTCCAGAAATTTTGAAAATTTCTTAACCTTTGATCTATTATTATAAATGTTTTTTTAAATAATCTTCGAGTTTTCAGCTGTTGGAAAAGTATCATGGCCTAGTTTTGTATAAACAATTGTTTTCGTTGTTAGTTCGACGTAAAATTCACGAAAACATCGTAAATCAACAACACAATTGGGTTTTGACTTCTGTTCAGTAAACCCGATTTGTTGAAAATGACCTCTACTATAACTCTTTACAAGAAATAGATCGAAATTCCTGTCATCTTTTACAAATATAGACACTGAATTTCGAATTTTTTTTTGGCATAGCAAAATTTGTTTGGTACTTCGATAATTTTTTTTGATATTATGCCTATAATTAATTATTCAATAACCATACACGGTGAAAGAACACCCACGCCCAGGCAAGGCCTCAGTAAGTGTTCCTTCATCACTAAAATTATTTATACCACGTAAGAACACTGTTGAAACTACCTACTAAAATGGGAACTAGTAAAGTGGGACATTTATTTGCCAAATGTTTGTATAAGATTCTTTTCATTATTAATATTGTAAAATTATGGCGAATAATGGCACATTTTACAGCCCAACATTTGTTTCAACTTTTATACTTTTTAGATGTTTGCATTTTTATTTTAACATTAACCATTTTTACTTTTTTTGCATTTTTTTACATATCAACATTTTACATTCTTACATGATTATATTTTTACATTTTAACATTTTAACATTTCTAACATTCAAGATTTCCACATCTTTACATTTTCATAACCATAACGATTTGTAATATGGATATTGTAAATAAAACAGTAATACCCACGCACAGGGTGTCCTTTGTGGGTTTCCTGAATTTGTTCAGATTGTTCAAGTTTTTATTGACTGATCCTTGTACTGAAAATTGAATAAATTCATATTATTATCATTATTTGGACTATAAGTTGCTCTAGGGGCAACAAAATACATTACTGGTAATATAGCTGAATAATTCGTAGATGTGACTTCTTACTGTAATTAAGTGTCAAACAATACTGTATAAAAAATACATGTGTGTCTCGGGACGTCCGACAGAAGTGATAACTTAAACTAATCTGAGTTGAACTATTCAATATTGAAAGCTTAGGTTAGTACTTAAATTTCATGTACATTGATATGATAATGTAAGGAAAGCTTATTTATTAAAAAAATATTTAATTGATTGTTTGTGTATGTACCTATATTATAGCTACCATAAGCCAATTGTTACTTTTGTAGGATTAAATAATGATTTTAATAATTTACATACAAAACATTTTATTATCATTTTCAAAATTTCTGTCAACCGTACAAGCTTAACGCACACTAAACACTGATCGTCTATCCGACGAGAGAGGAGGAGTCTGTCTTAGGTTAGGTCTATCTTAGGTTAGGTCTACGCTGACGTAGGTATGTGTGAGAGAAAGGGAAGTCGGACAGTTTTGGGCTGTAACGCGTTAGGTAACGAAGCGGTTCCCCCTCCCATGAGAAGTTATCACTTCAAAATGTTAGTGTCATATAACGCACGTGTGATCTGTTATAAAATTCCCACTGGAAAAAGTTTCTGTAAATGAATCATCTTAACTTGATTTCAGCCAAACATCGATGTTACATGTGCAATCGGACCTACAGTAGAAAGAGTGGCCTTGTTCAACATCAAATCGTGTGCGGAAAAGAAGCTCAATTCAAATGTCCACATTGCGTTTACAAGGCAAAGTATAAAGGAGATTTAAAAAAACATCTGAAACGAATTCATTCCGTCGAAGTGATTAACAATACGTTGTTATAGTTATATTAGTAGTATTAAACTCGTTTGAAAATTTAAATACATGAAATACATGTTATACCTTTAATTATTCATTAATTCAGTTCTGATATTGACGTGTTTAGATGACTACTTGCATGTCAAAAAGTAAATTCAGAGTCAACATACGTTTCGAATATCAATACAGTTATTCTATTTCACCTTTTTTTTATAAATGGTACATCCGCAAAACTTGGCAAAAGTTAGAAAACAAAAGTCGTTTTATTCCTTTTGTGTAGATTACTGATTTTTTTTCTACCTCAGGAGTCATTTGAGCCTGTGACGTGTTCAAATAATTTTCATGCAAATTTAAAGACCACTTGAAAATGATGAAAAAATACCAGTGGAAAACTCAACAAATTTTTTTCACTCAAATACGTTTTTCAATAATTTATATTTTAAATAAATGTGCTGAAATTTGAATGTTACAATGTTTCCTTTTTTAAAGTTTAGTTTAGGTCTCTTAGATATACAGTGTAACCAAAAGGTAGGTCATGATTTGAACCACATACTCTAAGGTCAGAAAAAATTCGATTGGATATAACTTACCTCAAAGCAAATGTGCACATAAAAAAGTTTCAGCCCTAGGAAAGTACAAAATGAAAATCAATGTTCAAAAAATATGTTCAAATGTGTGATAATTCCTAACATAATTGTTAAAAATGTACACATTTTGTAATATCATAGGCTTCTGACAGAATCGATTTCCACCTTCAATAATTTCATGCCTCAGTTGTTGATAGCCGATCATTCAAACAGAATACACGTCTTCTTTCATAAAACTCCAGAAGCAAAAGTCAGTAGGGTAAAGATCTGTATTTCCGGCTAGCCAAGGAATAGGTGCATCAGGGCCCCTTCCAATCCAACGACCAGGGTAAAGACAAAAAAATATTGAATTATCTGAAACCTTGTTTTAGCCAGAAATTAATTCATATCTGCCATTTCTGGCAGATAAATTATCGTAACAGAAAGTTTAATTTTTTATAACATTCTCAAAATGCGCACTATGTAATTGATGATGCAACTGTTTATTATTCATTCATAGAAACTAGAGTTATTGAAGAGGCAACAAATACATTTTTTAAAATTGATGGAAAAGAGCCTGCATTTCAATAAAGAAACTGGCTCTCCGAAATGTTTTAAATCGATGGTGTCACAATATGAATTTAATTCCGACGCATAGGGAAGTTTGGGGGTTTTTTAGGGGTTCGATACTCCTGATTTTTTCAAGGGCTGAACAAATTTCGTGGCTTATTATGAAAATGATGCTCTCACGATGACTTACCATAATGCACATTTGCACATATCCAGTTGAATCAGTTTATGACCTACCTTTTCATTGAATTCTGTATATTTCCGTACTGCTTCGATATGAAGTATATCTGAAATATGAGGTATTAGCAATTCATCCCATCATATGGCAACATAAATTTAATATCGAGTCTACTACGTTTCATATAGTATTACCAAGATTTCTCAGAGTTTGAAATTTGAACTTGACTGTATCATTTAGAAAACTGATTTTGTGCCATTGTGCCATTGTTCCAGAATCAGGATAACATTTTTGAATTTATCTTCCAAAATATGTATGGCAATAAAGATTATTGTCATACATTTCTGTAAATGAAAATTAATTCTATAGCAAATTTATGATTGAACCTCTATTCTATAGTCATTAATTGTAATCATTTTCAGAGCCCCAACATATATGCCGGCAATGTGGAAAAGTGTATCTCCATAAGTATACGCTAACTAGACATTCAATGTACGAATGCGGAAAAAAACCTGGATTCCAATGTGTCACTTGTAACAAACATTTCAAAAGGCGAGATACCCTGCAAGCTCACATGATATGTCACCGTGACATTCGGTTTATGTACTGAAGTCTAGTCACTGAAACAACCGAAGTAAATCAGGTTACCAGATAATAACAAAAATGTGTTCTCTAATAGATAGAAAGGAAAACGTGATTTCTTTTTTTTAGTTATTTATTATACATTGATCAATGTGTATATTATTTATTCCTTATAAATATTACAGTACTAGGTCATAATCGATATATATCTAAATTTTCTGATTATGTAAATATGATTAATTCAATATTTCCAATGATGAAACAGATTCATTACACTTTCTCCGTAAAACAGTATTTCACTTATTTTACAGTAAGCGCCAAAGGTGATGGCGAGCGATCGTGCAGGTGTAGACTCTCCCAACTAAATTACTATTAGTTACGTACGTCACTGGCCCCTTGCCGGCCAGTGACGTACCTATAATTAGTTTTAATTGGGGTAGCAAATTTAACATTTAGTATTATAGGTAGTAAGTAGTACAGTTCATTAAAGTGTTATATAACGATACATTTATCCAAAAATGAACTTTTGTTGGGCGATGACATTTTTTCAGAAAAAACACAAATCATTCAGACAATGCCAAACGCCAACAGCATTGGAGGACAAGTAGTGATACGCCTCTGTATATAGTATTCGTATGTCTTCCAAGACCTGTAGTGGGGGTTACATTGAAAATGAGTTTGTGTTGATGAGGCGGGCTCGCCATCACGTTTGGCGCTTGCTGTATTCACTGATTTAACGCCAAAATAAACGACCCTCAGTTGGTTATTGGCATCAGTAATTGCTTCGGAAGAAATATTGATTTGTAGGCCTTCATTTGTGCATCAGGTGGCAATCATCAACTTATATTCATGGCATGCTCTTAGTCTACAGACTTCCAAATACCATAAGCGTTTCTTCCATATGGAGAGTTCGAGAAGAAGCTGAGAAGATTCGATTTTGAAATAGATAATTTCATTCCCCTTCCTCCGGATTATCTACAATTTTTAGAACTGCAACTTCAACAAAAGATTACGTATGTACGACGTATGTTGCAACTATAATAATTCATCAACAAATATCTCTGAAGAAGCTTTGGTTACTCAGGCATGAATGTTTACACTTTTATTTCAATGCATGGCCTCCTAATTGACAAACTATGTTTCAACAACAGTTGGGACCAAGCTGTCGCCTCTTGAAACTTCGCTTATCAACGGTGGGACAAAAATTCCAATGCCGAAACTCGTTTTAGGGTTGTTGATGCTCGCATTAGATGCAAAACTGGATGATCAGGAATGCACTTTTTGTCAGGTCCATTGCTTCTAGATTTAGCAGGTCTGAATCTGTTGGTCAAAATTTCTCAAATCCATCACTAATACCATCAATAGCGACAGCAGAAACTGAAAATAAAGATTATTTTGCTAAACAATTTGTTTTCCATATAACAGGTTTTCAGGACAAAAACACCAACCACTATGCTGCATATTATTTTACGACATCATAAAAAAATCATCGAAACAGTTTAATCGAGCTTTGGGTCCTAATGAAAGACTTGACATCAAATTTAAAAAATATGTCGACAAACTAAAACAAAGTATTATAGATTCCTTAACCGGTGTTACCAAAATTCATCACTAATACAAGCTGGTTCAACAACGACAGCAGCAACTGAAAATACAGATTCATTTGCTGAACAATTTGTTATCTATATTACAGGTTTTTAGAAAGAAAACAAACCACTATGCTGAATATTATTTTACGACACCATAAAAAGATCATCAAAAGAGTTTGACTGAGCTTTGGGTCCTAATGAAAGACTTGACATCAAATTCAAAAAATATATCGACAAACAAAAACAGTGTGTTGTAGATTCTTTAACCAGTTTTACAAAAATCCATCACTATTACAAGCTAGTTCAACAGCGACAGCAGCAACTCAAAATACAGATTCTTCCGCTGAACAATTTGTTTTCCATATTACTACAGGTTTTCAGAACTAAAACACCAACCAATATGATGGATATTATTTTACGACAGCATAAAAAGATCATCGAAACAGTTTAACTGAGATTTGGGTCCTAATGAAAGACTTGATTCAAAAAATATGTCAGCCAACAAAAACAGTATGTTGTAGATTCTTCAACCAGTGTTACAATTCTGGGTATACGCTCGAGTTCAATCTGAAAATTGTTAGAAAAGTTCGTGTATATAATATCGACTTGGCCTTTGTTATCAACACTATCAGAGATGATTTGTTAAGTGACAATTAAATTAGATGCAGTTGACCTCTTACTCATAAAACGATGCTGATAAGGTGAAACAAGAGGTATTATTTGTGGCAAAACTACACATAAATAAAATGGTCTATTCAATAATATCCCTTTCTCCCGATGCAAGTATTGGAAGAACTTTCGGCCGTTTCCCGTTAACTCTTATTGAAAATTATAGTCAATTCTAAAACACTTTCCTTCTGAAAGACTATAAATCAAGGCATAACCACTGGTTATTTAATTTGGAAATATATGTAGGACTGATTCAATTTCAGATAAAGTAAATTCCATTCAATCCAAATTATCAACAATAGTACTCGATTTTTTTTGAATCGTGATTAAGGTATTTAAGCTTTTGTTCATAAGTGTATTTGTAATTTAATTAAGACATACAAAGTGTATCTTGAATGATGTCATCAATTTCAGATGGTGATTACTTGTCATATTTTATGAAAAAAAGTTTATATGAAGTATATCCTAACTTGCTTCGTTTACGAGTAACTTTTGTTTGTTGTGAGTGACAAGAGGCATCTTTTCATAAAATTAGATTTATACTTTTAATACTATATAATGACATCGCAGAGGGGGTCTTGATTGATATCATTTGAGAGGTATACTTTGAAAGGTAATATACGCCAGTAAATGCACACGAAAAGAAAGTTTTTTTTAACTTTTTGTGTTGAACCTATCTAGTCAGACTCATAAAAAATTCTATTGTTTTCTAAGCTTAAGGATAACCAATATTTGTTTAAACCAAAATGTGATTATTTTAAACAATTTTCTCAAATAACATTCTGCTAAAAACTTTTAAAAACAAAACTCTTTATGAAAAATGTATTCTCTCGAAAAATTCCGAAGCTTGGCAGATTTTGCTACTCCTAAAACATTGAAAGAGTTGTAGCCCATCCTCGCACTCTCGAATTTTTATGTCTTCTGTGGGTCAATTTTTTATTCAACTACTAGATAAAAATCTCGCTGGAAGTGGATATAAAACATCAACAAGTTTTTGAAAATCTAGAAAAACAAATTAAAGGAGAGTAATTTACTTCATTATCGAAAAAAAAGCTCGCAATCGAGCTTTAGACTGTCGTTTATTTCAATGTTTCGATGGCCTACGCCGGCAACAGCAACATGAAGGGGTAGATTGAAAGGGTATATTTTTAGGAAGGATTAATTTTTGGGAAAGAAAGGTTTGGCCATCTACTTCTCCATCTTGATTCATAAAAGGTGGGTGTTCATCTAATAAAATCATTGAAAAAAACAATATAGGTACGACTGTTACAAAAGCAATGAGAGTCCTACAACTGAAATAATAAGGAAGAAATTGAATACTTCCGGCCATAACCTAAGCTGCTGTGGCAAAACTCTTCAGAATTGGATGAAGAAACTAGGATTCAGATTAAAAATAATAAACAAACGTCAAGCAGTTATGGAAAGCAGAAGAATAGTGGAATTGCGTAACCAATACTCAGATCGAATAAATGAATATAGACAAGAACAGCGGCAAATTTTCTATTTGAACAAAACTTGGTATGACACTCACGACACAGTTACGAAAGGGTGGACTGATGGTTCTACAATGTACATTCCTAATATGCCTGCAAACAAAGGATCGCGACTAATCATTGTGCTTTGCAGAGATAGTGAAGGATAGGTTCCGAATTCTTTGAAATTATGTGGAAAATAACTTGAGGACTGCACTGTTGACTATCATAAGATCATGGAAGCTAATATTTTTGAGGAATGGTTTGAAAACACATCGATCCCAAATTTGGATGCGAATGGTGTAATAGTTCTTGACAACGCTTCCTATCATCCGCGACAGCTCATCAAAGTACCGAATGCAAATTCGAGGAAAGATGAAATTCAAAGTTTTCTAATGAATAACAATTTGTATTTTGAAGATTACTATACCAAAAACCAACTACTTGAAGTTTTCCAGACAAAAACATTTGAAAAAGTGTATGCCCTTGAGAGTATTGCTGAATAGTATGAACACGCCATATTGAGACTTTCCCCCTATTTTTGTATTTTCAATGCCATCGAGTTGATTTGGGGGAAAATAATTTTTCAAAATCTGAGAAGAAGGTAATGAAGCTAATTAAAGAAGAATTATCTAATATTACTAATTTCATGAAAAAAGTGAAACTTGAAATATTGTTCACTCTCAAGTGAAATTCATAAAATATGATAAGTTATTACCACCTGAAATTAATGACATAATCCTAGATACACCCTGTATATTGTTATATTCTGCTTTCGTATTACACAAATATCAGTTATGAATCACCATCGAACTCGATATGCAGGTAAAATATTTTCATAGAACCCAGTAAATGCTACTATTGCCTAACTATGGGCAGGATATTGATAAACCTCTATCAGGTATTCAAAATGCTGCTTTGATAACTTTAAATAATTCACTGAAATATTTTGTATCAAAAGAGTTTTCATAAAATCATGGATTAGGTAGGAAATAGAAAATTTTCCGACTACCCTACCTACCCATCATTTGTATCATTTGAATTACCTAATATTCAATCAGGTATGAAACTGATAACTAAGTGACTTCTACTGGCCCCTCTCCTTTGCTTAGGTACGTAAGGGACCTCCAGGGACAAGATACTTAAGGGACACTCCAGACTTTTGATATCATAACCCATTCGATCATAAGTCGTCAGATAGATCAACTATGAGGGCTCTTCAGTTTCATAAGATGTTTTTGCTCAAAAGCAGAGAGAGGGCTTGTGCAGAAACAAAAAACGAAAAATATTTTGAGGAAGATCTTCAGCTGCATACAGTTAAAAGGCCTCCAAAAAGATCCTATACTCGTGAAGAAGAGAAAGGAGATGAGTTATCGACAACAAACAGATCAAAAACTAATTGATAATAAGCCAGGGATGCGTTTATGTTCCAAGAAAGCATTTTCACTTTCCATGTATGGGTATGTCCGGCGCTTTTTTCAGAAAATTTACTTTTTCAATCGTGTCATATGATTTTTGAGTCAGAAAAAAAATAAACTGAGTTAATCAACATAAGTATTGAGTATTATTTCAATTGCAAGGGATATATTTTCATGATAGAAAGGTTTAGGCTTTCTCCACATTATTTTTCATAAAGATGGAGCAGTAGAAACTCAAAACCTTCCTTTCCGAAAAATGAGTAGTATTTATTATACAGGTTATATAATAGTTCAAAAAATATAATTGAAGTGGGAGGAAATGGGCAGAAAAAAATACTTATTGTTTTCACATCTTTCAGATATTCAATTAGAGGTATACTTTTTTTAAGCACAAAACACAAGCAGTACAAGAAAATTCTAAAGGCGGTCTAAGAGCGGTGCCTCTGCGAAAGTAGTGATTCACGTTGGATTTGAATCCCTGGAGATTAAATTCATTTGAAAAAAATTCTCAGGAAGTTTATTCCACATAATGAAATCAACGCCGGTAAATACACACGAAAAATAAAGCTTTATTAAGTTTTTCTGCTTGTAAGTGAAACACTATGAATCGTTTTAATATTTTTCAAACCTTCAATCCAAATTATCAACAATATTAATTAGATTTCATCTTTCAAATCGTGATCAATGCTTCTGATCTTCAGTTATTTAGGTAATGAAAGATTCGATTAAAAACGCCAATAATTTATATCTGAGTGTTCTATTATTTATAATCCGCGATTTAAAAATGGGAATCGACATATATTCCGGAGATAATTAATTTCCATGCTTCTAAAAATTTCGTTTTCTGTTTTCTTGTTGACAATTGAATTTCATTGATATTGAAGAATGCTGTTATTTTTCATGAACCTGAAATTATTTTATGTAGAGAGAGTCTGAATAGATAAATTTAACAGTTTTGTTTTTCAACGTAACCAAATTAATGTGAATACATGATTCACAAATGAATATAATGAATATAGGTTATTTTTGAGTGGATATTTCAGTCAAATCTCTGTGGGCTATAGAAACACTATTTTCTGTTATTCAAGCTTTCGAAAATGTATTCTTTTCTTTATCAAGAATATCTACAAAAAGTATGATGCAAACATTATATAGTAATGAAAATATTAAAAAAGACTCACCAAAGTTAGTTTGAAATATAAATAGGGATATAAATCCAAACATAGAAAAGCCGAAAAGTCAAATGCAAATTTGACGTTAAAATTTTGTCACAGCACCAGAGAAAATGTGATTTTTAAGATATTTGCAAATACAGTGAGATTTTAATGATGTAAGTGATATAATTTTTTTTATATTGACATTATTTGTTTAATTTTATTGATCAAAAATTAAAATATAATTGTAAATTTTACTTAAATTTTGTATTTCTGATTTTTTGTTTAAGTTATTATTATTTTTACTTATGTGAACCATTTCCAGAAATATCCTTTTGACTTTATTATTTTCAACCACTAAAATTTTTGTATTTTCAAAATCCATAACATGATCTGAAGAGATAACATGTTCAGTCAGTCCACAAGAACGTTTGTTGAGTTTGCAGTCACTTTTATATGACGTGATTCTTCCAGAAAGATTATGACTGGTCTCACCAATGTAAATTGAATCACTAGAAGAACATGGAATACTATATATAATATTAGATTTTTCTTTATTGTTGAGAGGGGTTTTGATTTTTGAATATAGAGATGAAATTGTTTTATACTTTTTGGTAGAAATTCTAATATTTTTTATGCCTCGAAATATATTAGGTAATTTGGGGGTTAAATTTGGAATATATCTCATAAACTAATTATATTTAATTTGATTATTCTCATTAGAAGAAGGAGAATTATCTGTTTCAGATATTGCATGCATAATGTTACGTGAAGTTAGTGTGGATGAATTTGGGTCACTTGAATCATGATGATTGAATTTGGGTAAGTTGAATAAATATTTATTCAAAAGCTTAGGAGGATATGAATTTTCCATTAGAATATTAGTTTTAATTTTAAATCATTTTCAATAAAATCCGCATGAGATAATCTAGTGACTCTTTCTTTGAGAGGTAAAATTAAGTTGATTTTCATCCTTGAAGGATGCTGTGAAAAATAACTAATGAACCTATTGCTACATATAGATTTTCTGTGCCAGGTAGTCTCAAGAACGTTTCCTTCAAACCGGATGACTTTCATGTCAATGAAAGATAAAGATTCATTAACTTCTTTTTCACAAGTGAATTGAAGATGTGGATTGAAAGAGTTGAAGAAATCAAGAGTGTTTTTGATTAGATCTGAAGGGAGTGCCAAGAATATATCATCAACATATCGTTTGATGAGGAGAATATATATTATATTCTAGTTTATTCAAAATTTCAGTGGGAAGGTCATCTGGTACAAAATTAGAAAAAATTGGAGATAGGTGTACCAAAAATTTGCTTGCCATATTTATTGCTAAATTCGAATATTATATATATGATTTGAAAGGGTTATATTTTTAGGAGTGATTAATTTTTTGGGAAAGAAAGTTTTTTGGCTTTCTACTACTCCATCTGAGACAAAAAAAAATGGATGAGAGAATCTTCCAAAGAAAGCTTAGTACAATTTATTACAATTCATTCAAAGTAGAACTCATGTGAATGATATCTGATTCTTATTCCTCAATAAATGTTCGATATACAAACTGAATAGAGAAAAGTATCTTCTGTATAATTCAGTGTTCATATAGAAGTATTTGTTTCGAAAGAATTTTTTTCTTTTGTGTAATTCAATGTTTATATGAAAGTAGCTGTTTCAGGAGGACTTTCTTTCAGTTTGTGTCTGAAAGTTACTTCTTTGCATGATCTACACATCCATGTATAGAGTTACTTATTTTCAAATTGATTACTTTCTCAAAAAAGATTTGAAGCTTTATATCTTCTATAAATTATCTGCGAGCGCTTTCGACAGTTGGTAGTACTGTCATCTTCTAGGCACCCTTCAAACTGTCAGTTTGAACATTATCAGAATCGCCTATCCTTACAGTTAAGTTAAGCAATATTCAAACATAACATTATTGAAAAAATCCAGCTGCTTAGTTTCGTACTATTTTATTGTAAATGCATCATATACACCAGATCTTTCCTTGGACAGACAAATAATCTAAAACAGCAATCTTTTAGGGTCTCTATTAGGTTAATGGACTGACATCTATCATAAAACAATCACTCGTGGCTAATACCACGAAAAGCATTGAACTATATCCGACAGGTGTCAGTACAGGAATCTTCACAGAAGTGATTCCAGCCTATACTGTTGGCAATACAACTGCCGAAATGAATTTCAAATATTGGAACGGACACAGAGTATCATTCCCCGAACTAGCTTGAAGCGAACGCCCTTCGTGATATTAGCCAGGGGAGTAGTTACTTTCAGCTGGGCGTCAGTCTATTAACCTACAGTGTAGCCGACTTGTGACTGGCCTGAAATAATTGTTCTTTTTGATAATTTGATTCACAGCCAGTCTTCAAGTATGCAACTATACTATATTTGGACAGATTATATATCAATTTGCTATATCGTTCAAAAAAAAGTCATCAACATTTACTCTTTAGTCTTTGGTGAAATGATGGTCTCTGCCAAGAATTTAGTTAAAATGACGGAAATTTTAAGGAGGTGTATGCAGAGTGAGATCATTTTCCTGTCAATTCTTACGTATTTTCCATTTCAGGTTCAAGATACCGCTGTTCTGAATGTAACAGAAATTATAAATATAAATTCCATTACAATAGCCATAAAAAATTCGAATGTGGCAAACTACCTCAATTCCAGTGTTCAAGTTGTTCTAAGAAATTCTTCCAGAAATATCTGTTGAGGCGACATATGAGAATTTCCAAGTGTGTGAATAATGAAACTGGTTTTTGAAAATTAATCTGATGTGTATGAATAAAATATTTTTTTTATATCAATTCATTCTTTCAAGCTAGAATGACCTTATTATAGATTTTAAAATTTTAGGGTTGGTCAACCAATTGCGTGGTGATCAATTCATAATATAATCACTTTGAAATATGAGAAGAGTTAACATATCCATCTTGTAAATATATATTCCCTTTCTTCAGGATTTATAATGGTCAACATTTTGAACAGTACGTCGAGAAATATAATCAGAAATGTTTGTTTGAAAGTGGTTTCATGGTGAAACCACTTTCAAACCACTTACGGACTTTTATTGTCTAATGTGATATAATATGATTGTTAATGTCGGGACTGGTGATAGGTGAATTAGTAATTAGGACACATCGTTTACAAATGATACAATTCATTAACAACACCAACAAATGAACAAACAGAAATCTCAGAACAGAATGAATGCCTCGGCTAAGAAATTTATTTCGAAATAACTTTCTCACTGACAAAAGGTCGAGTCACAAAGGATCAACCACTTGGACCCTTGTCTTAATTCATAAAAGTGTTAATAATGAGTACCTTCGAAACAGACCAAGTGGCTTCGTTCTAAATATCCATATGTTTTTTGGCAATGAACTTCGGTTCGCGAGACGAGAGCTTTTCAATGATATGCGATGAAAAAATACAAAAATGCTGAGTAAAAATCAAAATAAAAGAATTAACATAAAAAAACCCAAGCAGATGGATATTTGTGCGACTGCTCGATAATAGAGTTATGAAAAGTTAATTTCCTTATTAGAATTTTTTTTCTTTACAATTAAAAAGTTTCTGGTGATATAATTTAGGTCTCAATTTAAAGATATTTTCAATTCACCGAGAAACAGTTTTCAACATTTAAATACAAATCAATCCACGAATCATTTGGTGTGTTTCCACACAATATGAATAGATTAGTTAGTTAGCTATAATCCCAAAATGAATAAAATCAAATTTTGAATGAAATTGGCCACAAAAAACAAGGCATCCTTATTTCAACTCTTCGAAAATAACTTTTCGATCTGGTGCTCAATCAATATCAATAGGAGCAGCACTTTTAAAAATATTACGTGTGCATACATTTCAGAATCATGCTTTGTCAAAATCAGCTTGAAATTTTCTCCGAGGTTTCTGGTCTCTGTCCCAATTTACATTTTCAAAACTGAAATTCGCATTGAAAATTCATTAAAGTTAATCTAATTTTAGACGTGGGAAAATTCTACGAATGTAATCTGTGTCACAGGAGGTATCGTCATCAAGCTTCTTACTATAACCATGTAACATATACGTGTGGAAAGTCAGCCGATCTTTTCTGTCCATATTGCCAATTTTCGACAAAATATACTCAAAATATGCAGCAACATTTGAAACAGAAACACGACATTTCAGTGAATCGTTCTGAACTTAGGACTTTGATGAAGAAGCAGTGAACAATATGGGTTATATTGATTTCCTCGATCGTAGGTGTGTATTAGTTTCCGACTTCAATATACGTAACTCTTTGTTGCGTATAGTTTTTATTTGTATACAAGAAATTGCAATTTGATGTAAAATATGTTAATAAAAAGTTTTTAATTTCCATTATACTGGTTTTATTTGCTAGAAGTTACGTTTCTTTATATAAAGTATATTGGATAGTGGAAAAAAGAGTAGATTTAGTTAAAACAATCTGCCGTCTTGATTTATGAACGTTTTCAAAATAAAAGTGTCCACCAAATATTCTTATTACATTTATACAAGGGTGGTCTGACAAGTTTCAGATCTAACAAAGATACGAGACTTTTTTCACATTTATTTTCATTTCTCAACATAGTCTCTTTTCAACTCTGAACACTTCTGCCAGCGATGCTCCCATCTCTATAATCCTTCCAAATATTATTCGGCGTTTTTCTCTGCAAAATAATTGGTCACGAAGGCAAGCCTCTTCATTTGACGAGAATTTCTGTTCAGCGAGCGCAATTTATGGATGAGGTAATAAAAAGAAGTCGCTTGGGGCCAGATCTGGTGGGTAAGACGGATGGTCAAGCAGTTCAAACCGTAATTCGTGGATTTGCGCCATGACAACCGCTGATGTGTGAGACGGTGCGTTGTCTTGGTGAAACAGAATTTTCTTTTTCTGCAAATGTGGCCGTTTTTCTGCCTTTAGCTTGTCAAATCAAATCAAATGACCTTATTTCCTTAAGACAAAATATAGTTGTATAAGAAAGAGTCACGGTTACAACCGCATGGTAGTACGGTCGGGATTTAAATGAAGAAATGTACAAAAGGAAAATAACAGTACATTAAACACTACGGAACATGTTTACAT